CATAGTGACTGGCAAGTGACTTAAGAGGTCACCTAATAAAACCTCCCTGCTCAGTCAGGAGACACCACAGACACATCTCTGATAGCCTCTGCTAAGTCCATCAGTGACAGGAGATGTATACTTCTTGAGGCTCTCACGGGTTGCTCAGCTTCAGTGGGACAGGATCTTGTATGGAGCAGGTAACATTTACAGACAGATAAGCAAAGTTCTAGGACATATGGATAGAGGGAAGAGTAAAGGGGAGAGCATAGTTTTATTTTAGTTATCTCTGTTTTCCTGAAGCATTTGGTTTCCTGACCTTTCCATTTCGAATATTCTATGTAACTTCACCCTCGTGTGAATCCTTTCCATTCCACCATCCTCAAATGTATTCTCCAATTCGTAAGAATGACAGCACCAGAAACCCCAAATACCTATGATAAATTCCTTGCAAGTCACCTATCAGATCACGGTCCCACATCCATTCACCTAAGGAAATGCATGCCACCAGCCTCACGGAGACACAAGGAAGAAAAGCACTTCAGATTTTACAAGGACCTTAAAATTTCAGGAATATGGCATTCTCTAATTGGCAGCAGGTCCTGGTCACCAATTTCATAGGCTAGTGATCCATCCATATCTATTTGTGGAAGGTCTTTTTGGTCTAACACAGAGCTAATTACTATGATGGAATAGAGAAAAAATAATAAAATATATATATATATATATATATATATATATATATATATATATATCAGGTGTGGCTCCTTGCCATCAAAGATCTTCTACCATCTCACTGGGGAGACAAGACTAATACATGAAGCCAAGGAACAAATCATTAAACTAACGTTTAGTTTTTTTTTTTAATTGAAATAGAAGAGGGATAAAGCTAATTATGCTTCTGTTTCATACACCTTAGCCCTGAAGGGCTCATCCTTGGCTTAACTTGACTTCAGGGATATTTCTTCAAGCCCTCTCTTGATTCTTCCAGACATTTAGCTAACATCGTTTCCAAAGCGTGCTTTCTTAAAGCACAAACTGTTCTGGTGGCTGCTCTATCTCTTTCCCTCTTTATAAGACACAAACATGAAAGTTAAACACTTTCAACACCTACCCTGTATTAGTTTCCACAATTTTCCATGCCAATGTGGAAAGAAGCTTCCAAAACCTAAAAAGCTTTTTCTTATAAATAGATGTTACACAGTTTTAAATACTTACAAACAGTTCCTTTCACACCCTGTTGCCAGTTTCTTTGTGAGTAATGTTAACTGGAAAAATAAATAAATAACAGGAAAAGAAAAATAGCCCAAAGTGAACAGCAAGTAAGAGCTTGAGAGAAAACACAGGAAGGAAATATATGTAAATCGTTTGCCTGAATCCTTGGTTCTCCCTCTCAGATTTTAGCTTTACATGATTCAATTTCACACTAAACACAGCAGAGGTGGCTGAGACAAAGGAGGGAAAGAATGAATCGTTTAATGTACATTCTGGAAGAAAATAACGCCATTCTTTTCTGAGCAAATTCATGTCAACTTTCCCTCCTCTGCAAATGAATAAAATCATTTTTAAATAAATAGTCATCATAAATTTTGATGTTGCAAAAATAAATCCCCCAGATGCTTTGTGTAGCTTCGAGAGTAAAAAGCTTCAGAGGGATTTACTCTGAACATACTTTACAAGAATACATTGAGCACTAAATCCAAAATATTATATGGAAGATATAGCACATTTCAGACTTTTTCAGGAGACCTAAGGCCTTGAGCACAATCTCTTGGGAATACAAAGTCAGGCAAATAAATGTTCAACTGCATTTAAAAAAATTAAAAGAGTGCTGCTTGACTCTGTTTGGGGTTAAAACTGGAGCAAATCAGAGAGATTTTTAAGTCAGGGGCACATTAACAATATTGGGTTTAATTTTTCACATTTTTAAAAGTTAAAATAATAGATATTAAATACTCACTGAAAATAAGAGACTATCATAACATCTAAAATATATTACATAAAAATATTTTGAGTTTGGATTTCAGGAATCACAGACTGTGGAGCCCCTTACCCAAGAGCTTGTGCAAAACTGAAGGAACTTTAAAAAAAAAAAAAAAAAAATGTTTTTTGAGACAGCTGTGCCCTCTGGAGGTGGCACTTGGGAATTGAATAAATCTTCCCTAAACCAATAACAATGACTTTCCTAAAGAATTGAACACGCACTTGGAAATGCAAAGAAGGCTTAGAAGGTTTCATTCATGTTCCTTTCTTTGTGTCAAACCAGGTTTCAATGAATACTAATTTAGAATTTCAATTTAGAAGTGTTCAAATGGGCACAAAACATTTTGGTAGAAGGGATTAAAAGCTTATGTTCAATATCTGGAATACAATGATTAGGAACATGCTGAATATTATGAAAAGAAAGAACAGTGGTTTCAAATCAAATATCCTCAAAACCTCTTTTGGTGAACTGCACGGAGCAACTACCTACTCTTCATACTCCACTTTCCCTAGGTCTCACAGAGAACGGAATCATCTAGGTTAGAAAATACTTTTGTCCTATCTTTTCAGAATAACTTATTACCACTTCTTTATTTTTCTTTTTATCTGTCTTTCTATACCTAAGTCCTAATAAATGAAGCTATATTTCCCCATCTAGGGAATATATTATTCCAGTGGGAAAAGTAAGAGATAGTATTTCTTGTCTGAGTTTGAGACAGAGAAATTAATAAAGCTGGCTTTGTTGTGTTTGGAATTTCAATAGGCCAAAATAAATAAAGTTATTTATTTAAACTATAATTATGGGGGAGGAGATAGGAAAAGCAATCCCGAAGGTGTTCCTTACTTGATGTTAAACCCAGAACAAAGCTACCAACTTCAAAAACAGAATGAAGAGATCTTCCTGATTGTTAAGTTTGCCTTGGATGTGGGTGAATACTGTGTCTCTTTGAAACAAAGTAGGGAAGAAACTACAAGAATTAAGGCTGGTGCCACATCCCTGAGTCCCTAAGAGCAGAGCCTTCTTTATGTTAATAGCTCAATGAGAGTGTGATGAATGAAGGATGAGATTAAATAAATGCATGCCCTGGATTCCTAGAGGAAGGTGTAAGAGGAGGGCCAAAACCCTGCCACCCATGAGCAAATACCGCTGGGGCTGTCGGGTAACCTTCAAGGTAACCTTCTTCTGGAAAGGGCCTTGCATCTTTGAAAGACTAATCACTTTCCCAAGAACAATGGAGCCTCTTTCAGCTAAAAGAGATATGTCCCTGCTCAGGGACCTCCCTCCAACCCAGCTCCTCCTCACTAAAAGCTTCCAGTGGTATTTCTGGGTGCTAACTACCTCCTACTCCCTTCGTAGGTACATTTAGGGGTTCCCCGTGGTTTCAGGGGCCCAAAAGTGTTTGCTGGGAATTCTCTCTTAAAGGAGCTGCTCAAAGGTGATAACTTACACAACTGAAGGGAGTCTAATCTTTGTGAAAACAAATCCTGGGCAAATGGGACTGCTCGTCTCAACTTATTAGGTGTCTGAAGGTTTTAATTCCACAAACAGCATCTGCACTTGGGCAGAGTCTGTTTTCTTTTTCTGCCTAGCCCAGATGACACTGATTTTTTTTTCTTCTAAATGAAGTTTAGGAAGATATATTAGTCTTCTCCTGCTATGTAACAAATTACCACCAACTAAGCTTAAAGCAACACGTATTCATTATTCATTATCACGCAGTGTTCATGGTTGGACGTCTAGGCACCAAGTTCCCTTCTCAAGGTCTTACAAGGCTGCACTAGGGTGCTGGCTAGGTCCATCCTCACCTGGAGGCTCCACTAGGTAAATATTCACATCCAAGCTATCTCAGGTTATTGGCAGAATTCATTTCCTTGTGGTTGTATGACTGAGGTCCCGTTGTCTTGTCAGCTGTTTGCCAAGAATCACTCTCAGCTACTAGAGGCCACTCTCTGGTCCTTGCTATAGGGTCCCATCCACAGACCCTCTCACATTTCTAATCTCCCTTTAAAACTCACCCGATTTGGTCTGGCCTACCCAGATAATCTCCTTTTGATTAATTCGAAGCCCACTGATGAGGAACCTAACCATGGGAGTGATATCCCATCATATTCACAGGGAAGGTGTCTTAGTTCATGGTGTTATAACAAATGCCATAGACTGAGGGGTTTAAACAAAAAAAAAAAACATTTCTCAGCCAGTCATGGTGGTTCACACCTGGAATCCCAGCACTTTAGGAGGCTGAGGTGGGAGGGTTGCTTGCAGCCAAGAGTTGAAGACAAGCCTGGACAAAATAGCAAGACCCCTGTCTCTTTAAAAAAAAAAAGAAAGAAAGAAAGAAATATATCTCACAGTTCTGGAGGAAGCTGGGAAGTGCAAGATCAAGGTTCCCTGAGGGCCAGGCAATCTGGTTCCTAGGAAGGGTCCTCTTCTTGGTGTGCAGAGGGATGGCTTCTTGCCATGCCCTCACATGGTAGACAGAGAGATCATCTCTCTCATGTCTGTTCTTATAAGGGCACAAAGCCCATCATAAGTATGATCTAATCACCTCCCAAAGGCTCCACTTTCTGACACCATCACACTGCATATGAGGGCTTTAACTTATGAATTTTGAGGGGACATACATATTCAGTCCATAGCAACAACACATGCATGCCAAAAGGTGGGCATCTTGCAAGTCATCTTAGAATTCTGCCTAGCACAGAAGAAAATAAAGGAACATAAACAAACAAACAAAAATTATAGAATGTGCTGATTTACAGATGTCAGATTTCTACCTAAAATGTCTAAAAGCCAGGTGTCCAGGACCTAAGGACCCCCCCCCTTTCTACCTGGTCTCTAGCCCTTAGCCCTCCTCAACCTCTCCCCTGGCCACTGCTGGAGTTCAGAGGAGAAAAGGCCTTTACTGAAGGCCAGCAGGAAGAAAGGCCACTGACTCCCACCCCATGGTACCTCTGACATGGCAGCAAGGTAGCAATTAAAAGTGGATAGGTCAGGAAGACACACCTGGGTTCAGAGCCCAGCTCTGCCACTTACTCACCAGGGAACCCTCGGGGCCTCGTTTCTGAAACTTCATTTCTGCATCTACAAAATGAAAATAAGATTTCCTCAGTGTTGTTGCAAGCACTGGGTGATATAATATACCGTCCTTAACACAGCACCTGTGTGGCGAAGGTGAACCGATCGGGAAAAAGTGAAACCTGCCAAGAACGCAGCTGAGAGAAGGAGGAGTTGCTGTTTCTCACGGCGTCTACTGGGTGCCCCGCACGATTTGCCAGAAACTATGGGGTTTACAGATGCGCATGGAGCGTGAAGTCTGACCTTAAGACAGGCACAAGCTAGTTGGAAAGATAAGGCAACCTACCCAGTGAACAGATTCGCTTTCACAGAGAGACAGATTGTGAGCACAAAGAGAGTCGTTCTCAGAAAGGACTTTTCACACAGGCCCTGCAAGCGCTTGGCCTCACCAGGTGTTCATCCGGGGCTTTCCCACACCTGCTTCTCCTCAGCAGCTCTCGTTGCCAGGACCAGAGCCCTCATAGTGACCAAACCGGAAGTTTCACACAGAGAGAGGCTCATCCACCTTGTAGTGGCCAAACCGGAAGTTTCACACAGAGAGAGGCTCATCCACCTTGTAGTGGCCAAACCGGAAGTTTCACACAGAGAGCCGCCCATCCACGGAGCCCGCAGTTAGTGACACACAGCAGGCCAGAAATGCTCAGCCATCAGCCAGGGGCAGGCTGCCTTCGCCTCTGCCAGGTAAGAGGAAATGTCAAATCAGACGCCGGAGAGGACCTGGTGGGACCAGAGAGGTGGTGAACAATGCTGTGTTATTTTCCTACTCCCGCTGTAATAAATTACCACAAATTTAGTGGCTTCAAACAACACAAATTTGTTATCTTTCAGTTCTGGGGGGCAGGATTCCGAAATCAGTTTTTACTGGGCTGGAATCAAGGTGTGCTCCTGTCAGTGCTGGGCACGCGTGTTGCCCGGCCTTTTCCCGCCTTTAGAGGCTGCCGCACTGCTTGGCTCCGGGACCTGCTTCACTCCGACCTCTGCTTCCTCACTAGCGTCTCCTTCTCAGGCCCCGACGTTCCTGCCTCCCTCTTTCGATCACCCTTGTGAGTAGATTGGGCCCACCAGGAAACCCTAGGATACTCTTCCTATCTCAAGATCATTAATCCCAGCTGCAAAGACCCTTTTGCCATGTAAGTAACGCAAACACAGTCACAGGTTCCTGGGATCAGGATATGGACATTTCAGGGACTCATGATTTTGCTTACCACAGGTGCCTCTTTCCCTGAGTCAGACGCCCGTGAGCACATTCCCCTCTCCTGCTCCTAAATGATTTACCAAAAAAAACAACTCATCCCTAGCTATTAATATTTACCCGATCTACCCTACAAACAAGCAACTTGGGGATTAAGCACACTTTCATAGAAGTACGTGTGCTGCAGTTTTCATGAGAAAAAGATGCTGTGCTCTAGACATCACAGGAGAATAACTGATCATTAAAACCCACTTCTAGGTGCATCTGATAGGACACGATTTAATAAGATTTGAAAACAGAACCTGTATTTTTTTTTTTTTTACAGTGCTCTAGCATTCTTCACTTCAGTGTTTGCAAACAACTGCAATAATCACTAGCACCTATGTTCCCCTCCCCTGCTTTCTAACTATTCTCTAAATTGACTTGATACTGCAGTTTTTTGACAGTTCAGTGACAGGCATAAATTACTTCACTGTTACCATGGTAACCAAGGCACCTCAAAACAGAGGGGAAAATATAAGATTAAAATAAAAGGAGGAGGGAATAGTCCAAATTGACATTAATGAATCATTGTCCCAGTGTAATGGAGTGCCAACAGACCAAGCTCTGGCAGTTGTTCCAGTAAGGACCCCTGAGTCAGTCAGCAGAGGAAGCCTCCCGTGTGGGTGAGAATGCTTATCTCCCACAAGAAGCAATGGTTCAAAGTTTCTAGAACCTTCTCTTCTCCCTTATTTATGCATCTCTTTTTATTTGGATCATCTCCTTTGTTTTTCATCTCCTCCTGCCTTTCCCCTTCTGAACACATTAGTTACTATGGAAACATTGGTGTGAATGTCAGAAGGCTCGGCTCAGAACTGCTTCATAAAGTCAATTTATAGAATGGTCTGACATTTATCTCATGTTCGGGAAATTTAAAGAATTTGTGATATTCATGACCACGGACAGGGTTGGGTGGTAAACACTGTGCTATATATGGATTTTAAAATTTGTTTTATATACACTGAGAAAACATCAGGTTTTGTCTTTTAGAGAAAGAATAGCAACAAAAACAGGATCTGGTTTGGGATTTGAAATTGGATTCATTTTCCATCAGTTCAGGAAGGATTTCCACTTTCTAAGTTTGTAAGGCTGACTATAATCTCGTGTGTCAAAATAAATGCTTTTTGCAAAAAAATATGGTTTGCTTATTTTTTAAAAAACTTTAACCTGACAACAAGACAAATGGTATGATTCATAGTAATATACATAGGGCAGCAGGACACAGAAACGTTAATGTCTGTGCTATAAAAATGCTTACTTTACAAAGGTGTATTTCAGAGTTAGTGTTACCCTATGGAATAATAAGTATAGCTAACAATCACAGCATGTTACTTTGCATCAGGCTTTTTTCTCAGTATTTTACATGTATTAATTTGTGTAATCCTTATAATAAACTGGTGTGGTAGGTGTTATCATTATATTCTTTTTACACATGAGGAAACTGAGGCACAGAAAGGGGAAACAATTCATCTATGTAAATAGTGGAAGCAACATTCAAACCACAGCAGCCCAGCTCCGGAGCCTATGTTCTTAACTATCGTGCACAATTGCTTCTCTATGGAAAAAATAAAATAATACTAGCAACATATCCAGACAGTTTTGAGTTATCAGTTCTGCATGAAAAAGACAATCTAGGCCCTATATGTACTGCCTCTCTGAAGTTGTTGCCCAAAACCTTAAGGCTTGCCAGATTTTAGTATGGGTTCCTAATGATTACAGTTTGACGATGAGTACAGTTTAGGATTCAATGTGGTTTTAGATTTGCAAGCTCTTGCATATTTTGTTATATGTAAAAGAGTAAAAATGTTTTGCTATATGATCATCAGAAAAGCTAAAAATAGCTGAAAAGATGTAGAGCTGAAACTCCATTGTATTCAACCAGAAAAACTATAATTACAAAGAAAATCCAGCATCATTTTGTGTGGCAACATTTATTCTTTACCCATTTCCTCTGGCAACAGCCCTCAGATTTTGTTTGAGAAAGTGGCCCCTGCCCAGTTTGTGTCTGACCTACCTGATCCCAAGATCAACCAGGTGGGCCACGCCTGAGCTGATCAGCACAGCTAAGCGCCCGACCTCAGTGATTGGTTCAAGGATCGGCATGTGACCCAATCACAGCCAAAGAAACGCCATGACAGTTTGGCTGGGAAGGTTCAAACAGGAAAAGGGTGGAAAACTCGAATGAGGACTGAGCTGCTTTAGCCATTTTTGCCACCACAAGGAGGTGGCCAAAGTGTACACAGGCCACTAGACAGAGACTGAAACTTTGAGAACAAAAGGCATGTGAAAGATTAAGAGAAACTCAGCCAAATGGCCTCCTTGGAGCCCTCAATACAACAGTGTCTAAAATCTGTCTGTGAGACTTTTCAATTATTGAGGCAATTAATCACTCCTGCCTTTTCTTTTTTTTTAATTTAAACACATTTGAACTGGCTGATAACAAACAGAAAAAGGCTGAATGTACACAACAAGAAGCAATATGTGTCCTTTAAGAGCAGACCTTACAGCTTGTTCACCATGTTTATAAACAAGCAAACCTGCCCTTATCTGAGATTCCAAAATCCATAAACCTCTGAGAACCAAAAATCTCCTTGTAACTCATTTGGTGACAAAACAGACATGACCTGCATGGGCATGAGGAATCTTTGCTTATCCCACTTAATGTCAACATTTCTATGTTGTGCTGCAGAACAATTAATGTTTGTGACTACAGGATGCTGCACAGACCCTATCAAAAGTGTCATGTTGTATAAGATATATAGAGATTTTATCTTTAATAAATCCAAAAAAAATTATAAATTCTGAAGCCTCAAGGGTTTCAGATAAAAGACCATGGATTTCTAGTCACATTATAAATTGAATGAATAAATTGATTGAATAAATAAGTACTTAATCTCTGAATAGGATGGGACCTGAATTAGTTAATGACATTATAAACCACAAGACGAAAGCATCCATCATCCCAAAATTACATTGAAAGTAAAATTATGCTTGCATGCCAGACAATAGACATACATCACATCAAACACTAGTTCGACAAACATCGGCACAAAGTGAAAATTCTGAAGTTCAGGACAAAAGCAAAAGGAATCAAGTGTCTCCAAGAACAGTATCAAGGAAGAGCTTTGAGAACAGAATACCTGAGAAAAGAAGACAACCTGCTTCCTGACTCCACACCAAGTTACGCCACTCTACTAACTATAAACACTAACGCTAAGAGGTAAAAGAATTACGATGCTGAGTGCATGTGGCCATGACACCAACTAAATCTGGAAATCCATATTCCATGTCCATGTGAGATTTATTCTAAGTCCCTAAGTTCTTACATTATAAATATAAAAAATGTTATTTACTTTTTATGGACTCTGTAGCCAAGAAATCTATCATGGTATGAAATATCAAAAAGAGTACTGGAAACTAATTAAACATTACCCTAAAAGTAGCAAACTTTGGGGTCATGACGCATCTGTTTCCTTTTTTATATCCAGCACCTAAAACAGTAGCCAGTACACAGTATGTATTACATAAGTGCTTTATTAATAAATGAAATAAATGCTATATTCTGATACTCCGCCACCCGCCAACACTGACAAGTTGTCAGTGGGACAATTGACAGAGGGAGGAGAAAAACTAAAGCAGAAAAAAGATCACCAGGAAGGTGACTCCAGTAACACAGAAAAATCCTCCATGAAAAGAAAATGTAAAAGGGTGCAAATTGAAGTCTGCATAACTTACTTAAAACACCAACTGAGGGAGCATGGAGTAATCCCTAAATTTGGAGAAGACTCTTGAAATTTGAAAGAGAAATACATATATATATATATATATATACACACATATATATATATGATAGATCTCTGTCATCTATATAATAATATAAAATCTGCATAAAGAATTTTCCCATAGCTAAGAAATGGTACAAACCTAAAACGTGTCCAGCTCACACTGGTCTGAAAAATACGGAATCCTTATCTTCCCATTAATGAAACTTCCAATGTCCAGACCACCAAGCTGTAAGAGCCCAGCCAGCTTTGAGACGTCCTCTCTCTTGCCGTACCCAGCCTGCTGCCAAATTTTCCTACCTCCATGACATTGCTCAAATCCAACCTACCTTTTCCATGAGAAGACTTTAAATGCCTCCCCCACTCCAGTTTCCTCTCCAATATTCCTTGCACATAATTGCCAGATTAGTTTTCCTAAGGAAAAGCTTTGATCCCATCACTCTGTTTC